AAAATGCCTATACATGTAAATACCTGTAAACCCTAATTATGCCACAAAAACTTTTTAATTTAATTTCAAACTCGGTTTCATACATCACCCTTAAAAAAAAAAAATGTAAAGATAAACCCATATACAGTACTGTACTGCTATGTCTCCCTCAGTGCTAGAATGAAAATACCAATGTTACCCCCATATGTACTGTAATTCATGCAAGCCCATTTTCTTTGGTATGCTATACTGTAAATAAATGGTAATAACTTCATTTAGTAAAAGTAAAGTTAAATGTATGGGTACTCACCAGTAATGAATGATAACAATTGAAGGTGATGATGAATTAACTGTGCATTATGATGAAGCTAATGAAGATAATGACTGCCAAGCAAAGCTCTCATTTAAGCCATAATGGCTTACTACTATGGCATAGCTTTTTTTTTCCTGGAGCAAATCCAGAAGTTCAGCCTTCTCCTGGAGTGTTTTAAACTTCCTCTGGTGCTTAGGTTTATTGCCAGAAGCCTTAGAAGGTGTGGAGCATTGGGCGGCATCTTAGGGCTTAAGGCCACAAGGCCCTAAGGTTTAGAGATTTTAAAATTGAAGTCCAATTTCAAGTGTAACTTTATGCTGTTGTTAATTAAGGAGCAGTTTGCATCCTATACACATGTTTGCATGGGCTTCTTGTTGCAAAGTTGCAAGATATTGCAAAATTGTATTTATCATAAATCCCTCCAATTTCTACAAAATTGGTAAGTTGTACAATGTTCTAGTCAACATCAGATGAAAGATAAAGAGTTAGATTATCTAGATTTTAAACTTTCTTGCGAGAAATGTCAGTAGATTGCATTATTTATTTATTTTATTTTTTTGGCATTTTTTGTGAGAATAAGAGTCAATAAAAACAAAATGGTGAAACATATTGCAAAACAACTTCGAAAACTAAATAGAACCATCATTCATCAATATTGTCTGAAAAAATCATGACACTCCTATTATTACTCTTTGAAAAAATGTGAAACAAATGTCAATAACTTATTCCTGAGTTATTCAAGTTTTTTTTTCTATAAAACACTATGGAGATGAAACACCAAATCTGAGCGTGTTGCAAACCCCTATCATTGTTGATAACCCAGAGGCAACTGAGCAGCAACAACTCTGTGCTCTTCACTTTAGTCATCACAGAACTTGTTTAGAATGAAATAATAGTAATTTCTGGAGTAAAAAAATAATAATAAAAACATTAATTGCCAACATGTCCTCTTGATGAGAGCAAAAACATTAAAAATTACATTTTTGAAAAAAACATACTTAGAAATATGGTAGAAACAAACTGATTGCATCAACATGTTGCCAGAATTTTGCACTATTTTTTGGTAAGAAAACCTTAATTTCCATAATTTTTCAACTTCAATTTTAAAATTTCTAAAACAAAGGGCCTCGGGATTGCAACACGTGGTAAACAGCTATGATGCGTGAATACTCTGCCTCATCTGCCAGATACACGTCACAGTTCAGCTTTCAATCGGCAGCAAGGAGAAATGAATAATGCTTGTGTTCTCTCTACAGCACTAAAAAATTTATACAGTATTATATTTTATATGGAAATTTTGCTGAATTTACCTTAATATTTATGTTGCAAAATTATTAAATTACATTTTTCTTAATATTTAGCATTAAAATGTATCAAAACTTATCTAGCACCATGAAAAAAGACAAATAAATTCTGCAAATTTGCAGGAATTTCCGTGAAAAACTATTAGTTAGGTTCTAAGGAAAAATCCACGAATTACTGAAGCCGTGAATTCGGAACTGCAAATTTGGGGGGGGGGGGGTCCACTGTACTGTCATATATAAATGATAAACATGTTTATTTGAGACTTGGTGCTATCATTTATCATCTTGAGATGACTTGGGCTAATGTAGGAGACAGTGGAAGCTTACTTCCATTCTAGGTGATTGTATACGTAAACTAGTTTGGTTACAAACCTGTTTCAAGGTTTGATATGTACCAGTCCTGCTTAACTGAACAGGAGTTCAGTTCCTACACTGAAGGGAGGATAAATAAAAGTGGCCATCATGAGCCAAAAGAACCTTTTCACTGGCTCACTGTAGTCCCAGTACTTCAACCCTTTGAAGGTCCAGACCTGCAATATGAAACTTGTCCTCAGGGACCAACCCCTTCGACTCCTACTACTTTATTTATGGCATTTCTGAGTTCTGCTCCTTTAATTATACTATATTGATATAGGGAATAAATTATTAATATACTAATTATGTATTTACCATATGGATTGCAAGCTTGCAGCATACAAGCTCGGTTAACCCTGTGACTGTCGCGGCCGTATATATACGTCTTACGAGGTACCGTGTTTGACGTATATATACTCATAAATTCTAGCGGCTTCAAATCAAGCAGGAGAAAGCTGGTAGGCCCACATGTGAGAGAATGGGTCTGTGTGGTCAGTGTGCACCATATAAAAAAAATCCTGGAGCACGCAGTGCATAATGAGAAAAAAAAACCTCTGACCGTTTTTTTTTAATTAAAATGCCGACTTTGTGGTCTATTTTCGTATAGTATTTATGGCTATATTCTCGTTTTCTTGGTCTCATTTGATAGAATGGAAAACATATTATAGAAATAGAGATGATTTTGATTGATTTTACTATAAAAAGAACCTGGAAATGGAGCTCAAAGTATGGGAAATGTTTGATTTTTGCCAATGTTCAAAAGTAAACAAATGATGCCATTGTCCAATAAATGTCCAACTAGCCATTCTAATATGCAGTCATGAATGGGTTGATGTTATTTATACAATTATTACAGTATTGCAGTAGTCTGCATAATAGTAAATCTTCTATTTTTTGTTTGAATAAAATTCAAATAGAAAGCAAGGTAATATCAGAGGGGCCTGGAGACGTGACTGATGAACATAGAAAATGTTATTTTAGAACCAGGAATGTCTGCATTGTTCATTCTGGACCTTATTTTGAAATTGTCATATTTTTTTAGTTTTCGTGAAATTGGCCAAATTGCAAATTTCTGACCACATTATTAGGTAGTTGAAATTGGTAAATGGGCAGTTTCTTGTACTCAATCGATAGAAAAAATGGAGTTCTAAAGAAATAGCTATGAGTTTGGGCGACTGGAACAAGGGAATTAGCCTAAAATAGGGCTCAAAGTGGGCGAAATCGCCGATTTGTAAACAACGCCGAGGTCGCTAACTTCGCAAGAGCATAATTCTGTCATTTTTCCATCAAATTTCGTTTTTTTTGGTCTCATTACAATCGGGAAAAGATTCTCTATCATTTCATAAGAAATTTTTTTTTTTTTTTTTTTTTTTAATTTTGCAACACCAGGAGACACCTCAGGATTGGGGGTTGCGACAGTCAAAGAGTTAAAGCTTGGCTCTAAATGCTGTAGCTATGCTCTTTTGGCTTTTTTATTTTTATTAAAGAAATTACAAACATTGAGTAACCTTATAGTTAAACAAAGGACAAAACTTGAAAAAATGGAAACAGTGAGGTTATATTCTTATAAAAAGACTGTCAAGTATAAAGTAGTAGGATACAAAAGAAAAAAAATCTATAAAAGAAAATCTGAGTCAGAAACATCCTTCTCTCCTAGTTAAAAAATCTGAGGTATATCTTTTGATATTGCTAAAAGGAATTCAAAGTTAAAAGTACAAAAAAAGTAAAAAGCAGTTGAACACCTAAAACAATAATCATTTAAAAAGAAATTAACTTAATTTTACAGTAGGGCCCCGCTTTATGGTGTTTTGCTTTATGGCGGTCTGCTAATACGGACATTTCAAATTATGACCAAAACTCGCGATACGGCTCCCCCCACCTGACTTTCTAATATGGTCACCATGCCCCACCCAGTTTGTTTACATTCTCTGTGAGCTCCGTAATCACCACATTTCTCCATTATATCTGGACACTCCAAAATTTCAAGTGTTTTAAAAAGTTTTCATATTTTATATATATTCTGATAATTATACTTATGTATACCTGTACCTAAATAAACTTAAACACTGTGCTGGCGTACAGGTGCACATTAAAATCAGTAAGAGTGTTTTATGTCTTGAGACGCCATATTAGTAATAATAATACACCTACCATCCAACTTACGACATGCCCGCCGTACAACCACTCGACTCATGACCATGTTTTGCATGTCAGATTTCTGGGAAATAAACAGCTGTTTGTGTTGTACACAGTGTTTATCCTAAACCTTACAGTATAAAATACAGTACTAACAGCATAAAAGGAAAGTAAAAAATTAAATGCCAAAATAAAGCAGTAAAATAAAATCATTACAAATATGTGGTGTTGATAATCAGTAGCAAGGTTCAACTTACATCCATTTTGACTTATGACCGGTTTCGGAACCAAGCTCAGTCATAAGTCGGATTGTAGGTGTACTCAATAATTATCACCGAGTCTCATTAAATGTCGTATATTGCATTAATATACACATTTTCATTAATCCATCTATGATATTTTTCAAAATTATATAATAAACATGATACGTAACATATAAAGATGATAAATACACCCCACAGTAAAATAAATTAACATAAATATGAGATATGGTAGCCAGACGACTTGTACAAGTGACAGCAAGAATAACATTTTCTCTAGTCCAACATCAGAGAATGTGTGTTGCTGGGAGTAACTGTAGAAAATTATTCCTTTCGTTTGCCTTCACTCAGACCGTCATTTCTTCCAAAAATAGTGTTACATGAGAATGGGAGTGCTCCTCTTTATTTATTCTACCGTATCAATGTAGAGACAACTTGTATCTGGAGTTTACCTGGAGAAGGTTTCGGGGGTCCATGCCCCTGCGGCTCTGTCTGAGACCACTACCAGTATACAATGTAACTTGTACACAAACCAGACGTGTTCACCTGGTTTGTTTGCATAACTCCACGCCAGTCCTCTCTCATGTACTCATTCTCTCTCTCTCATTTATTCATTTTATCTCATTTACTCACCTCTGACTCGACATTAACACTATGAATATTTTAAGGTAAGTAATGAGTGAATTGTATATGCATTTTATCGCTCTGGGATGCTTAAATATCATAGAATATTATGTATGGGTGGGGTGGCCTGGTATGGTAGCCTGGCTGGCTACCATACATACCACACTTGATTTCTTACAATAAATACTACTCATCTCACCCTAGATTAACCCTTTGACTGTCGCGGCCGTATATATATGTCTTACGAGGTACCATGTTTGACATATATATACTCATAAATTCTAGCGGCTTCAAATCAAGCAGGAGAAAGCTGGTAGGCCCACATGTGAGAGAATGGGTCTGTGTGGTCAGTGTGCACCATATAAAAAAAATCCTGCAGCACGCAGTGCATAATAAGAAAAAAAAAACTCCGACCGCTTGTTTTTTAATTAAAATGATGACTTTGTGGTCTATTTTCGTATAGTATTTATGGCTGTATTCTCGTTTTCTTGGTCTCATTTGATAGAATGGAAAACATATTATAGAAATAGAGGTAATTTTGATTGATTTTACTATAAAAAGAACCTGGAAATGGAGCTCAAAGTAGGGGAAATGTTTGATTTTTGCCAATGTTCAAAAGTAAACAAATGACATCATTGTCCAATAAATGTCCAACTAGCCATTCTAATATGCAGTCATGAATGGGTTGATGTTATTTATACAATTATTACAGTATTGCAGTAGTCTGCACAATAGTAAGTCTTCTATTTTTTGTTTGAATAAAAATTCAAAATAGAAAGCAAGAGTAATATCAGAGGGGCCTGGAGACATGATTGATGAGCAAAGAAAATGTTATTTTAGAGCCAGGAATTCTGCATTGTTCATTCTGGACCTTATTTTGAAATTGTCATATTTTTTAATTTTCGTGAAATTGGCCAAATTGCAAATTTCTGACCACATTATTGGGTAGTTGAAATCGGTAAATGGGCAGTTTCTTGTACTCAATCGATAGAAAAAATGGAGTTCTAAAGAAATAGGTATGAGTTTGGTCGACTGGAATAACAGAATTAGCCGAAAATGGGGCTCAAAGTGGGCGAAATCGCCGATTTGCAAATATCGCCGAGGTCGCTAACTTCGCGAGAGCATAATTCCGCCATTTTTCCATCAAATTCCGTTTTTTTTTGTGTCATTACAATCGGGAAAAGATTCTCTATCATTTCATAAGGATTTTTTTTTTTTTTTTAAATTTGCAACACCAGGAGACACCTCAGGATTGGAGGTTGCGACAGTCAAGGGGTTAAGACTACAAATATTTTAAGGGGAATAATGAGTGTACTATATGCATATTTTACTTTTTTAATGTTTTTTAATGCCTAGTTCTTTTGCTAACTTAATACACCTACCATCCGACTTACGAGAGAGTTCGGTTCCGAGAAACCGGTTGTAAGTCGAAATGGTCGCAAGTCGAACTTTACTACTGAATATCAACCAAATATTTTTTAATGACTTTATTTTATTGATTTATTTTGGTATTTCATATTTTACTTTACTTTTTATATTGTTAGTACTGTATTTTATACTGTAAGGTTTAGGATAAACGCTGTGTACAACACAAATACATGTTGTTTATTTCCCAGAAATTTGGCATAAAAAACATGGTCGTAAGTCGAGTGGTCATAAGTCGAGCAGGTCGTAAGTCGGATGGTAGGTGTATATGTTAGTGTAAACTTGTTATCTAGTATTTGTATGCATTTACATGTAAAAAAAAAAAAGGGTGTTCCACTTTGTCAATTTTCGCTTTATGGTGGTAGCCTGGAACCTAACCTGCAGTATAAGTGGGGTCCTACAGTATACATAACCCTTACTTTTCCAGATTAAAGCATTTAATTTATATTCTATACAATTTAAATTCATTAGAAGTCGAAGTTTTTCTGACTCCGACTCCAGTAACCCAAGAATTGCTTCCGACTCCAACTCTACAGCCCTGGGTTTTACTACAGCACAAACTGATGCTTGGATAAAACCTAGTAAAATGATCAGGAAGTTTTACCAGACCAATGCTGATGATTACAATCCTTGCTGGGATTCAGGAGGGTAAGTATTGGTGTGGTATATTCCAGGTGGACTCTCCAACACTTCCAGTGATGAATTCCGTCTTTTGATGGTAAAGAAAAGTGTTGCAACAACCAGATTTTTGGTGTCTTAGTAAAGTGCAATCCAAATTGCTTGCGAAGGGAAGTGTATGATGGCCAGATGTCTAGGTACAAGTTAAAATAATTTAATTCACAGATTACCCATGTAATCCAAAATGTGTGCTCTAGCATTATTCACATGAAAACATCCTCCTCTCATGTTTTTGTTACTTAAGTCTCAATGCAGTGGAAATCTCTCTGTTAATGTATTTCCTTCTATAACTCTTGAAATTTCTAACATCTAGATCTCTCCCAATATTAACTAAATTAACAAATGCTGCATTTAATTTTTATATGTACTTTTATCAGAGCAGAGAGAGATTTGCTGATTTTTATTGTTCTTGCCACAGTTACAATAATAATTTGCTTCTAGGTGCAAAGTGGAAGGAAGTGCAAGACACCCTGCTCAGATATGGTGCTCACAATGTTGGCAGTACAGTGGTACCCTGAGTTTTGGCCATCATTTGTTCCAGAAGGCTGTTTGAGTGCTGTTACCAAATGAATTTGTCCCATAAGGTTGTTGAGGTGGTTCGGACATGTAGAGAGAATGGAGCGAAACAGAATGACTTCAAGAGTGTATCAGTCTGTAGTGGAAGGAAGGCGGGGTAGGGGTCGGCCTAGGAAAGGTTGGAGGGAGGGGGTAAAGGAGGTTTTGTGTGCGAGGGGCTTGGACTTCCAGCAGGCATGCGTGAGCGTGTTTGATAGGAGTGAATGGAGACAAATGGTTTTTAATAATTGACGTGCTGTTGGAGTGTGAGCAAAGTAACATTTATGAAGGGGTTCAGGGAAACTGGCAGGCCAGACTTGAGTCCTGGAGATGGGAAGTACAGTGCCTGCACTCTGAGGGAGGGGTGTTAATGTTGCAGTTTAAAAACTGTAGTGTAAAACCCCCTTCTGGCAAGCCAGTGATGGAGTGAATGATGGTGAAAGTTTTTCTTTTTCAGGCCACCCTGCCTTGGTGGGAATCGGCCAGCGTGATAATAATAAAATAATAGATTAGTCTGTTTCAGACCCCCAAAAATACACTTGCAAAAGCACTTACAATAATACACTTACATAATTGTTTGAGTTAGGAGCTGTACGAAACTCGAGGTACCACTGTATATTTGTACTTCTGGTTTTTATCATTTTACTTTATATTTATGAAAATTTAATTTCTACAGCTGGAGGACGGTTTGAAGTGGATGAGAAATCTGGTGTTGTACGAACACGTGGATCGGAAATGTTTCAGCTGGACATGGAATATGTTTTGTATGTGAAAGCTGAAGACCAAAATGGGAGGATTGATGACAAACATTTCCAATCAACACCTGAAGAACGTTTGTCTATCGTAGGTGGCAAACGGCCACCACAGTTTTACCTTCCAAAATATGAGAAAACCATCCCTGAAAATGCAGCCAAAGATGCAGAGTAAGTGCTAGTCAGATGTTAGAGATTTAATGACTTTTTTTTACCCCCATAGGTACCATATACGTATAGCATAATTAACATACGGAGCCTGGAGAAAGAAGTGTATCACAGGAAATGTGCACATGTACAGTGGAACCTCTACTTATGAGTTTAATGTTCCATGACCTTGCTTGCATCTGGATTTGCTCATTTGCAGATGCAATGAATCCATTCTGGCTCTCAGGAGACACGACAGTTTACTTCAGTATTTTGCTAATATCTATACAGCTTATTTATCTATCACAATTCATCTAATGTGACATAATAAAAAATATAAATAACATAGAAACCTGCTATATACTCTAAAATGAATAAAATGTCATTCACATAGTGGTATTGGCAGCGGCGGTGGTGGACGAGCATTTGTCTGGAGACAAGACAAAATACTCCTTGAATATTTCGCTAATATCAACTCTACGGCTTATTTATCTATTGCAATTCATCTGATATGACATAATAAACAATATAGGTAAAATAGAAACCTGATACAGTAGGGCCCCACTTTATGGCGTTTCACCTTATGGCGTTCTGCTAATACGGCAATTTCAAATTATGACCAAAACTTTCTATACGGCTAGCGGTCTTTCAAATACGGCACACACCACCCAGTTTGTATACATTCTCTTTGAGCACATCTCTATATTATGTAATAATAATCACTCTTGGGCACATTAAATGTCTTATTTTACGTCAATAAAGACATTTTCATTAATCCATCTATGATATTTTCTTCAAAATTATATAGGAAACACGTTACATAGCCTATACACATGCTGTTTATGTGCTGTGGAGGTGTGGTTGCCAGACAGAGGGAAAACATTATGTAATACTAATAATAATTACTCTTGGGCACATTAAATGTCTTATTTTACGTTAATATAGACAATTTAATTTTCCATCTGTGATATTTTCTTCAAAATTATATAAGAAACATGTTACATAGCATATAAACATTTTGTTTTTATACATTACTATGGAGGTGGGGTAGCCGGGGGGGAGGGAAAACATTACGTCACTCCCCTTAGCCCTTTCAGGGTCGAGAGGCCCTCTCCTAAACTTGTTCTCAGGGTCGAAAATTTTTTGGAAAAAAAAAAAAAATGTTTTTCTTATGAAAAGATAGAGAATCTTTTCCCGATCATAATGACACCAAAAGTATGAAATTTGATGGAAAACTTATGGAATTATGCTCTCACGAATTTAGTGGTCTCAATGATGATTACACATCAGCGATTTCACCCACTTTGAGCCCTATTTTTGGCCAATTCCTGTGTACTAGTTGACAAAAATCATACCTATTTTCCTAGAACTCCATTTTTTCTATCGAATGAGTACAAGAAACCACCCATTTACTGATATCAACTATCCAATAAAGTGGTCAGAAATTAGCAATTTTGCCAATTTCACACAAATTTCAAAAGATGCCAATTTCCAAATAGGGTCCACAATAAACAAGACAGACATTCCTGGCACTAAAATAACATTTCCTCTGTTCATTAGTCATGTCCCCAGGCCGCTCTTACATTTCTTTTACTTTCCCCTTTGAATTTTTTTCTCATTAAAAAATAGAAGATTTACTGTTATGCAGACTACTGCATTAATGGAGAAATGATATAAATAATATCAGTGCACTTGTGAAAGAAAATTAGACTCGCCAGTTGACGTGTATTGGACACGTGGCATGATTTGTTTACTTTTGAACTTTGGCAAAAATCGAACATTTCTGCTAGTTTGAGTTCAATTTCAAGGTACTTTTCATTGTGAAACCAATCAAAATCATCTCAATTTCTGTAATATGTCTTCCATTCTTTAAAATGAGACTAGGAAAACTAGAATACAACCATAAATACCATACAAAAATATAGTGCAAAGTTGCTGTTTTAAACCAAAAACACGGTCAGATTTTTTTTTTTTTGTCATTACGCACCGTGTTCGGCAGGATTTTTTTTTTGTACTGTGCACACTGACCACATAGACCCATTCTTTCATATGTAGGCCTACCAGCTTTCTCTTGCTAGATTTGAAGGCTCTAGAATTTACGTGTACTAGTACGTCAATAACCCTAGTGAGTAAGCTGTACTAGTACGTTAAAAACCCTGAAGGGGTTAATACATAACGCTTTTCTTTACAATTCTCGGCATGAATTATTCATTACCTCTCCCTTTGTTTATGATGGCATCAAAAGGTACTTGTTATAAACTATTAGTCAGTGAACACAGTGTGTCAATGGTAATAATATGGCTCTGGGCTGCATTAAATTTTGTGTAGCTATGTAAGTAGGTGTAGGTATGTAGCACATCTGGGCTACATACCTACATTATTATTATAACTGATATTTATACTATGTGTACCTGTTCCTAAGTAAACTTACACACTGTACTGGCATGCAGGTACACATTAAAATTACTAAGCGTGTCTTATTAGTCTTGAAGATGCCATATTAATAATGATAATAATAATAATAATAATAACACACAATAATAACCGCACTGAGGAGCATTAAATATCGTATAAAACAGTAATATAGACATTTTGCTTAATCTATCTAAATACAACCCACAGTAGAATAAATTAACAAAAATATGAGATGTTCTAGGTAGTAGGTTGGTAGACAGCAACCGCCCAGGGAGGTACCACCGTCCTGCCAAGTAAGTGTAAAACGAAAGCCTGTAATTGTTTTACATGATGGTAGTATTGCTGGTGTCTTTTTTGTCAGCATAGTTGCTGATCCCTGTGTTGTATAGCATATCATAGTATCATCCATGTGCTTTAGATAGGAGATCCCTTTTAGGCCTGTGACTGTATGACGTCACGGGATGCAGCTTGAACATACAAGATTTCAGGTATGTCTTGCTACATCTACTTACACTTAGGTCACACTACACATACATGTACGAGCATATATATACACACCCCTTTGGGTTTTCTGCCATTTTCTTTCTAGTTCTTGTTCTTGTTTATTTCCTCTTATCTCCATGGGGAAGTGAACAGAATTCTTCCTCCGTAAGCCATGCGTGTTGTAAGAGGCGATTTAAAATGCCAGGAGCAAGGGGCTAGTAACCCCTTCTCCTGTATAAATTACTAAATTTCAAAAGAGAAATTTTTTGTTTTTCTTTTTGGGCCACCCTGCCTTGGTGGGATACGGCCGGTTTGTTGAAAGAAAGAAGAAATATGAGATGTTCTAGGTTGTGGGTTGGTAGACAGCAACCGCCCAGGGAGGTACTACCGTTCTGCCAAGTGAGTGTAAAATGAAAGCCTGTAATTGTTTTACGTGATGGTAGTACGTACATGTATTGCTGGTGTCTTTTTTCTGTCTCATGAACATGCAAGATTTCAGGTACATCTTGCTACTTCTACTTACACTTAAGTCACATTACACATACATGTACAAGCATATATATACAACCCTCTGGGTTTTCTGATATTTTCTTTCTAATTCTTGTTTATTTCCTCTTATCTCCATGGGGAAGTGGAACAGAATTCTTCCTCCGTAAGCCATGTGTGTTGTAAGAGGCGACTAAAATGCCGGGAGCAAGGGGCTAGTAACCCCTTCTCCTGTATAAATTACTAAATTTCAAAAGAGAAATTTTTGTTTTTCTTGTGGTTAGCCAGGCGACTTGTAGTCCAACATCAGAGACAATGTGTACACTATAATAATACTGGGGATAACTAGAAAATTATTCCTTTCGCATGCCTTCACTCAGGGCATCATTTCTTCTAAAAATGGTGTTACATGAGAATGGGAGTGTTTCTCTTTACTGATTATACTGTATCAACGTGGAGACAACTTGTACACAATGTAAAGGGACGAAAACCAGACGTGTTCGCCTGGTTTGTTTACATTACGTGTGGGTGGGGTGGGAGGGCTGCCCCTGCAGACTACCCATACTTCCCAAACCTGACTTAAAAATAAAACTCACCTCCCACCCTACATTAAGACTTCAAATCTTTTAAGGTAAGTAATGGGTGTATTCTGTGTGTATTTAACTTCTTATTGTCTTTAATGCTTAGTTCTATTGCTAACGTAATATATGTTAGTGTAAACTTGTTATCTGGCGTTTATATGCGTTTATAAGTGGAAAAAATGGCGCTCTGCTTTCCGGCAGTAGCCTGGAACCTAACCTGCCATATAAGTGGGGCCCTACTGTATATACTCTAGAATGAATATAATATGTCATTCATGTAGTGGTATTGTCGGCGGTGGATGAGAGTTTGTCTTTAGACCGTCGCCAGTGGATGAGAGTTTGTCTGGAGACAGGACAAAATACTCCTTGACTATTTCACTAATATCAGCTCTACGGCTAATTTATCTATCACAATTCATCTAATATGACATAATAAACACTATAAATAACATAGAAACCTGATATATACTCTTAGAATGAATAAAGTATGTCATTATGTGACAGGTGGAGGCAGCCATAACCTCTTCCGCATTGTTGTGGTATTCACTTCCATCTAGTGACGGCCTTTTGAAGCCGTCTGTTGTTATAATTATTATATAGTCCATTATTATATGTATTATTATTATTATTATTATTATTATTATTATTATTATTATTATTACTACAATGTAAATAATTTGTAATTTTTATTCATACAAAAATTAGAAGATTTACTGTTATGCAGACTACTGCATTATTGTAATAATTGTATACATAATGTCGACCCATTCATGACTGCATATTGGAATGGACAGTGACGTCATTTGTTTACTCTTGAACATCACTAAAGAATCGAACATTTCTGCTACTTTGAGCTCAATTTCAAGGAACTTTTTGTCATGAAACCAGTCAAAATGCTGTAAAATATCTTCCATTCTATCAAATGAGACCAAAAAACGAGAATACAACCATAAAAACTATACTAAAATACCGCTAAGAGGTGGGTAATGGCTGAGAAGTGAATTCCGATATTTGTGGTCCGATTTCTTTCATTTTTGGTGTACGTTAAGAAGCATCTTT